TAGGCTATGTTCAGACACAACGACTTACGCTAGCGTAACGTTAATCGAGTGGTGTAAACTTATGCGCGGCGTAGCGAACGCCAGTATTATCGCGCAATCACTGGCGTACGGTAATCCAGCAACAGACCCCAGATTAGCGTACGCCACTGATTTACGACAGTCACGAATTGGTGATTTTGAACTCAGCCAAGATTTGACCAATCAAAATAAACCTAGATGTAAACAGAAAATAAAATGCGCGAATTACGAATACGAATATTTCGCGCGAATATTTACGCTAGCGTTCATTAATCGCCCAGTCTGGACATCTCGCTAGTTACGCCATGGATTAACGTACGCCCGGCGTTAGATACGCCTGGCGTGTCTCACAGGTCTGAACGTAGCCATAGAAACAGTCACACGCGCATTCTAACTATAACAGCAGTTCTATTTCATATACGCATACGCATGCATCCTTCACGCAGTGACGTAAAGCCTATGCAATCTTGTGCAGGGCCCCAGACCCCCAGGGGTCCATGAGGCCCCCTACCCACAGGGTCCTCGATCTAGCACCTTGAGCCAAAAAGGCTTTGTTGATACATAATAGCATACTAATGTTAATTTATTTTCTTGTTTGTATACTTGGTTAGCCTATACATGGGTTTTTAATCGTAATTTTAGTATTTATTATTTAATGCGTTTCTTTGGTATTATTGTACATTTATTTTATAGTTTATACATGACTAACATATGAAATTATATATTGAATGTTATTTTTGAATAATCTGACTCAAAATTGCGTTGAAAGGAACTAAACTGGGTACTCATATCCTTTTGCCAAAGTTTGTCAACATGTCTTAAATCAGAAAACTTACGGCAAAAGGGCATAACTGACATTTTGAGCGGAGAAATCAATATTTATAGAAAAAATGTGTGCTACACTGGAAGAGACATTATTTGTCTATTTGAATACATTAACCATAAAATCAAATACTGAAACACATTTTAGGGCTAAATAAATTACACGTTTTGCTTAATATCTCCAAAACAGCAAAATGTCAGTTATGCCCTTTTGCCATGGGAGGGCAGCATTGTGCCAACATTTTTACAAACTCAAAAGAGCACAATTTCTATTATTTCTTTTGTATATTTTTAAGACCCATATATACTACTGTTCGATATTATCTGCATACATAGATTCCTGTTCTTCCTATTTTTCAACGGTTATCAGAGTCTAAGTAAAACAATGTTCTGTGGGCTACGTTGTTAATTGGAAGCGTGTAAACCTATTGTGCCAACATTTTTACAAACTCAAAAGAGCACAATTTCTTATTTCTTTCGTATATTTTTTAAGACCCATAACTGTTCGATATTATCTGCATACATAGATTCCTGTTCTTCCTATTTTTCAACGGTTATCAGAGTCTAAGTAAAACAATGTGCTGTAGACTACGTTGTTAATTGGAAGCGTGTAAACCTATTGTGCCAACATTTTTACTCAAAAGAGCACAATTTTTATTATAAACGATTTATTTCTTTTGTATATCTCTCTGTCTATTTCTACTTATTTAAGTAGTGACACCACAAATTTACGAACTCCGCCGGTGTTACTTGACGCAATCTCGCCATGGCATGATGATTATAATAAATTAAGTAAATCACCTTTGTTTGTTCGTGAAATAAAAATGCTAACTAATGTTTTGTGTGCTTCCTATCTCCTTAGTCCTGTTTGATCGTAAGTTAGACGGTACGGTAGTATTTCCACTCACAATAGTGTACTACCTGCATAAAAGTGAAAATCAAAAAGAGGAGAAAAGCAAAAACATCTTGATTGATTTTAAAAGTACTGTACAATCAAAGAAGCTATAGAAGTTGTTCGAATACGTCACAAGCTAATCATTAGATAATAAATAGTTATTTTTATTAATGTAAATATGTAAGCGGGCATGATTATGATTACTAAGTTAAATTGAAAAACAAAATTAAGATTAGCATCTCAGTGGCAGATTCAAGACGACCCAGCCAACCCACCCTTCATAATTTTTTTTCAAAAATTAAAAGTGGAAAAAATTATATTCACAATTAAGCCTGAAAGTGCCATTTCAGGCAAATAATCATACATTTTCTAACCTCGGCCCCAGCCATAGTGGGGCTGAGGTGGTCTACACTCCGTCTGTAAAATTTCCTCCCTTCCCACTCCCCCACCCTCTATTTCGAATTTCTGAATGTCCCCTTGTATTTTAAATATGTAGTGTGGAAATAAATGTCAATTACATTCCTTAAAATTAATTAGATACAACTTATAAAAGGCCGCATGGACGCCACTTTTCACAACGAATCGACGCCCTTGACCAGGAACATAGTATAGTAATGTAGCACCGAATTCACAGGAGACTGACAACAACACCGTAGTTGCCGATTAATGCTGACTAAAAACAGTTACAAGCACACAAAATAATGAAACAAATTTCTTGAATAATGCATTTTAATAAACGAAATGGTTGTACAATAGGTGTTGATAATAACAATACTTATCAAGTAGGCCAGACTATAAACTTACTCTACATTTTGCTCTAAGTTTGAATGTCATGTCACTAATGCTCATGAATAGTGGGTCATTCTCCTTAATTCTCATATGTTTAGACAGTTTAGCTTAACCTAACCACACTGCTGTCTTCTGGTTTTCTCATGATTATTAACGTAGACCTATGTATAATTCTAAAAGCTTAATTCTATCATGTTTGGCAATATTTTTGAAAAAAAAAGGTTTCACAGAGCCAAAAAATAATTAATTACTTCGTGGTTTCAATCTAAATGCACTGTAACGATAACGATAACGACCAACGATAAAAAGCTAAAAAGCAATTTTTTATATAGAAAATAAAAAAATAAGAAGTTTTCACACTAGCAGGATTCTATAACGATTTATCGTGTACAGGAATAACAAAATAATTTCACAAATCAAATGACGTTATAATCATGGGAAAACCATAAAATTGTTGTAACTACTACGATTTTATCATTTTCTCATATTTATGAAGTTATTTGTGAATATATTTTTATATCTTAGGCCCCATAAAAAAATAGTTTTTTTATTACCCCCTCCCTCATCACTTTTAGGGAAATTCTGATTTTGTTTTTCTTTAATCAACATATATTTGAATTTCAAACGGTCTTTTTCCATAATTTTTCACTTGAAAAGATCATGAATTCTTGCAAATATGAATTACTGGTACAACAAAAACATATTTTTAAAATATAAACTTATTACTTTTTTTATATATGTGTCCCTAACCATTGATTTACTTGTCAACATCGGTAAAATAGGGGCGGGGTTAGCAAGGGAAAAAAAACCCTTCCTCGTTGTTATTCTTTGATAGGGTGATAAGCTAATAATTTTTAAATTTTTTATGGGGCCTGTAGACGATAAATCGTTATCAAATCCTGCTAGTGTGAAATCTTCTCTTTTTGATATTTTCTATATGAACAATTGCTTCTTAGCTTTTTATCGTTGATCGTTTTCGTCATAGTGTAAACATTGTCCGCAACCCACACATTCAAGGGAATGATGTTAAAGAACAACTTGACCCTCCATCATAAGTGGCGTCAGCAGCAGGGCCAGTTAGGCCCATCCGTCGGGGAGTCAGGTAAAATCTGTCGGTAAAAATTTAATTAGAATATTTCCTAAGCAACAGAACCTTAAAAGTGACATTTTCCGGCATCGACTAGTGCCATAGCCTAATTTTTTCGCCTCCGCGACGTCACGGGTGTGGCTCAACAGTCTCGGAATGAAGAATCATCTGGCAGGGAAACACAGACTTCACCCCTACCCTCTATTTTGTGGACATGTTACAGATAATCTTGAGCTCGCATTTTTTTCTTGTGCTGTATTGTTATATGATTAACTACACTCTTGTCTTACAGTATTAACATACAGTTCTATTTTTTTTTTACTTTTCATTTTCTAAAAAAGCTATATTGAAAGGTATCTTGATATATATATTTTTGATAAAGCACGCTTATTTTCTTGTGCTGTTTAGTTTAAGTCCATTTTCATATTAATAATTATTATTCAACAGCTTCAGCACAAGTCAAAATTTGCGACAACAACGCCACAGTCAACCTACACCTAAAAGATGTACCTTCAACCTGCAGACGTTTGGTTGAAGACGGCTCTTCCACTGTGATTTGGACTGAAAAGAACGAACGAACGATTCAACCACAGTTTCTTGCCTTACTTTACTAACACATAGTTCTTTTATTCGGTTAACTGTTACCTTTGATTTTCCTTAGGCCTTGAAAGCTGCCAATTAATAGTATGAACGGCTTTAGTTCCGCCATGATTTTGCATATTGATTTTATACTTCTGCATTTTATTGATTTCTTTTAAATTATAAAAGTTCGTCTATTTCGCACTAAGATGCTCTCTAATAATCTTAAGCCATTTCCAGACTATCGAAGTTTATTTGATGACACCATGTCCTGACCATATATAGGCACATCGTGACCATATATAGGCATACAACAGTTTTTGTCAAAGAAAATTCGATAATCTGGACAGAGCTTATGATAGAATATTTACACTCACCATCGTTTGTAAATACAAAACAGACCACTAATAGGCCTACATTTTTTATATTTAACACCAAAATAATAAATACTCTAATTATATTATTGTGTTACCAGATATGCGATTATACAACACTATAATCCTAATTATGATGATATGAATTATCATTATTATACACAGAGCCGTAATAATCAATATCACAAAGTTACCGTTGTTGGACATTATTTTATACCACCAATAAGATTTTAGGCTAGATCTAAAGCTATAGAGTACAACAGTCATGTCGTCACAACACCGGGTGGCACACTTTGTTGTCAACCAGACGTTGGTTACTGTTCATTATGCCTAAATGACTTCATAATCTTAATGGTTTAGAATAGGCTTTCTGGAATAGGCATTTTAAAACCTAATAATTTACCATCAAAATGTACTAAAAACACAAAAGCTCGCATTATATTAGTTATCGAACAAACATTAATTAATCATCAATTAAAATTTACAAAGAAAAACTAAGATACAACATCTTGATAATTACGTTAGAATCGGTATCAATGGTTTGTCAGTGGTGAAATTGACGTCCGGTTGAACTCATTTTCTGTCGCCGATAGCAACAGAGTAGTATCACGTGGTATCGTGACGTAACACTGTAGTATTCTACAGTTATCCTATCTGTATACCAAGCGTCTAGAGACGAACTATTTATTACATCGAGGCATGTTAACGATATAACTACATTAGGATACATATTGACCAAAAACTAAGAAAAGCCATAGGCCTATTTGATTACATACTTCGTTATAGTTTCATTGTTGTTCACATTTTTTATATTACATTATATTGGTACATGATCAATCAATCAACCAGTCACTGTGTTTTATATTTCTTTGAATTCTACAACATTCTGCCGGACAACAACTGTTACTTAAAATTAGCCAAATTTGTATCCAAACTAAGAGAAAGAACGACAACACCCGTACTTCTTTTAAAAGCCTATGCTCGGATAAATAAAATTCAAACACCATTTATTATGGAAATGGTTGAGTGTTACGGTACTATAAATACAGATAAAGCATCAGAGAGTACTGTTTAGTTAAGTGTTTTGAAATGCGTTAGGATATTGTTATCAATTTACTCGGGAAGAGACTTATATATTACAATAGTAACTCGTTGGCAGAGAAAAACATCACTTCTATGATATTTTCCTGACGCGAACACACATCGAAATAACTTTTGCAGTATCCGTTAGATTAGTTATCTGGAGGTCGTGGGTTCAATTCTCAGAATCATTTGCGCATGTTTTTGCATGTAATTGGGAACGTACTGAATATTCGGTACTATATTCGTAAGGTAGGGAAAATCATCACTTCTATGATATCACGTTAGTTTTTTGACATATGAGTATTATACACATTGTAAATACTTCTAATATTGATTGATTAATTGACTGCATTATCATGTGTCCAAAGTAGTATCAAATTCACCTACACTTATTCTCATCCTCTATATTTAACAGAATAGTATTACTTCTAACATTGCGACAATCCGAAGTACTTAATTGATCCACTGAAATTGGTCATAATTTTCAAGATTGGCTTGCTCAGACCAGGCTGAATAACGAGCCCCATCCATTTCTGAAGCAACTTCATTCCCAGAGGTAAGTCTATGTTGTGTTCCTCCAATTGCTTCTTTGCACTCAGGACATGTACTTTCTTGGTTAGCACCACCGCAATCTCCGATAGCATACACATGATTGTTAGGACATTTGTACCAATGACCTTTTGCTAAATCCATCGCTTTTACAATCATTATTCTCTCGTCATCGGATATTCCTAGACCCGACCTTTTTTTCACTGTATCAAAAAGAGATGTTAACTCACTGAAGTCGCTCGGAAAGTGAATGTTATGATCAAGAATATTTTTAATTTCTTTTAAATCATCTTCTGATTTCGGGGTATTTTTCAATTTCAGATAATTTATCGCTGCTTGCATCCATCGTAGCTGAATTTCAATATCATATAGTTGCTGCTCACTAAGAATATCATTTTTATACTTTTCAAGGACATTCTCAAGAGCCTTAGCTCTCGCATTAATATCTACATAGTTTTCAGCCGAATGAAATAGACATAAATTTAGTTTTATAGTGTGAAGTTGTAATACGAATTCTACCTTATTGCGCAAGTCAATAATCTCTTGCAAAGAAGCATCTTTGTGAAACTTATCTCGTATTAGTTTCTGGAGCCAAATAGGTACATGTACCTCTCTACCACACCTATAAAATCCAGTTCTACACCGTTTAGGAAAGCTCTTTATAACAGAGTCTCTCTCTCTTTCACCTTTTATCTTTTCTTTCACGGACTCAATATCATTAAACCTGGACTTAATAACATCTCCATACCTCAAACTATTTCGTATAGTAGTCTTACATTTAGGACACCCCTTTAATTGTACTGTAACTTGAGGATCATTATTATCTTGAGCAAGTTCCATCCAACTATCTAATGCTCTAACTTCAATGATATGACCACATTCATTAATTTCTATGAACCTGGCTGAGTCATCGTCTTCAGTTCCGAAAAATATTTCCTTAACTTCCTCTTTATCACATATTCTACATTTCTTGGGGCATGGCTCACCACACATTCCTATGCACGGATGCGTACAATGTAGCGTCTTTGTACAGGCTTCATCACAACGCTGTCTATTACACGGTTTTCCACACGTCTTTGTACACGTTGCATGTTCACAAGACCATTGGCACATCTCTCTACATGGTACACATCTGTCACCACACTTCTTTTTGCAACTACTATGGCGACAACGATTTTCACAGTCTTTCTTGCAAGGAGGACAAGCTTGACAACAGTTCGAGTTGCATACATGACCGCAGACAAGAGTACGTAAGCATTTCTCTCTGCATGGTACATGAATTCGTCCGTTGATACATTTCCCACATTTTCCTTTGCATATGTGGCCACATTTTAGTATGGTCTTGCATGGTTGTGGGCAGGATGTTTGGCCAGTAGAACATGCGACCGTAACCTCGTGACCACATGACCAATTTGTTTTTTTGACAATAATTTTACACTTATTTTCATCGCAAGTTTCGTAACATTTCTGTTCACAATCATGTCCGCATGGAAGCTTTTTTAAACATACATAAAGGCATTTTGCAACTTCTGGGTCCTCATAGCATTTTAACGTTTTGAAATGACCACATGGTAACTCCTTCCTAACTTCCTGTATGCAATTTATCCTACATTGCATTCCGCATTTATAATCGCATGTGTGTCCACGAATGCATATAGGTTTGTCACATGTTTTTGGACAAATTACTTCACTGTGACTTTGGTCATGCGGATGGCATGTCCTTGGACACACATGTCCACATTCTAATCGATGATCACACGGCGTCGGACACCCTCCGTCTGGTAGTTTTCTGAAATCCGTGCTACTTGTAACTTCCACTGAAAATTCTGGATGTTGTTTGCACATCACTTTGACGTACTTACCAAAGACCTTGCTGCGTTTGGCTATTGCAACAACACGTTTCCATGTAGGATTTCGACTCTCTAGCATCTGAAAATTGCCGATACAATACATAGCTTTTTTCGCTCGGGATAACATGACGCAGATGCGTTTCTCGTCTTTTAAAAACCCGATCATTCTTCTGTCATTACTTCGGACCAATGAAAGCATAATTATGTCATTCTCTTCCCCTTGATAATCATCAAGTACTTTTATTTTTACATGTCCCAGTAATGGTTCAGACTTACTCAGCTTCCACAAAAGGTTTGATTGTCCTAAATAGGGTGTAAGCATAGTTATTTTCTCAGCTTCGCAACCTTGTTGAACTAGAAAAACGGAAAAGGCTATAATGAATTTAGCTTCGTGTTGATTGGATCTACTCCGAATTTCCAAGTCACATGATTCGTTGTTCTGATGGTCAATTAACATCAAATTTGTGGCGACTCCTGGTATATTAACATTATCAGTCCTACTAGTGTCTCTCAGATTTGTATAGAACACGGTCCGGACAATGTTCGATACATTTAGTGGCATACGATGCTGATACTTCAATTGGTCATAGTCTAGACCATTCAGAATTAATCGCTCAAAAAGTGAAATATCAAGGTGATATCTTTTTCGGAGATCGTAGGTTGCTGTTTCTGGTCGCAATTGCTGATGGTCACCAATCATTATAAGATGGTCACAATGGCCGGTTAGTGCGGTTAGTACATGTGCCTCGAGAACCCGTGCCGCCTCCTCAACAATCACAATCTTCGGTTTCAGACGACTAAGGAGGACAGCATTTTTAGATGCTGCTGAAGTCGTAGCCGCGATTACTTTTTTACCCGACAGAATTTCAAAATCATCATTTATACGTACTTCATTATTATGTTCAGTCCTGTCCTGACACTCTTTACAAAGCAATTGCCGAACTTGTTCTACCCAGTAGGCATACAGATTCCAACGACGACCGTCATCTAATCTTCGTGGATGAATAGATGCATCGCGTTTGGCCAATTCCGAACATGAAACTAAGTTCTCTAGTTTCTCTAAAAGAAACCTATACAACTTCCTGACTCTCGACAACTCAGTGGAATTCCTATTCACCTTAAGGTTTTCAATCGTTTCCTCTAGTAGACTGGTGCGTAAGGAAAATTTGCCATAGGTGCTTGGATACACATATTTATCGTATTCTCCAACGCCTAACCATACGTGTAAAGACTTGTGTTGACTTCCACAAATTGCTTTCACTTGACACTCATTTAAGCAATTGAAGCTTGATAATGTTTCGATGCTCAGTATTCCTTCAGTTAATTCATTCAGATTGAGCACTATGTCATCGATAGGCGTCAAGCGGTTTTGTCTTGAACGACCAACACTTCTTCTTTGATTAGCAAGGCTGAATTTTGATATTGTCTCATTTTTGCTTCGTGATCCCAAACGAACGAATTCCTTATTCGTCAAACTATTTTTCTCAATAATGCCTTCGCAAAATTGATCCAATGCATGATTTGTGTAACACACGACAAGAATCGGTGATTCAGGCTCAATTTCAGAGTATTTGCACCAAACATGTCGATTCGCTAAAAGAATTTCCATTAGTTTCAACCCTATGAATGTTTTTCCTGTTCCGGGAGGCCCTTGTATCACAGCAACCTCTTTTGTGAGGGCATTTCTTATTGCTTTATATTGGGAGTCATCGAGAACAGTTTCTTCTATACTTGGCCATGTGTCGATTTCCATTATGTCTACTTTATTCAACTGTTTTTCTGGTGATTTTAGAATGACGTTTAGGTTGTAGCTTGTGTCCTTGTCATCTCGTAAGTATTTAGGATGTTTTACATCACTTAAATTATTTTCAACAATGTATCGATCCATAGGAAAATTATCGGTTTTAAAACACTTAAGTGAACTTAACACGTACCGATATGACTCAAAGAACACAGAACAACTTTCTAACATAATATACTGGTGCTGATAAATTGTACCAAGATCGTCTGTGTTTGAAAGAAACTGAAGATCAATGGAACCACGTTCGACTTGATCACGATTTACTACAACTGCGACGTAAATTGTCTGAAATCTGTCAGCTGATATGCAAACAATTGCGCCAAACTTTAACCGCTTTCTCCAACTTCGGTTAGTACTTTTAAATTTGATTGTATGTGCAATACCGTACTCCGATGTAGACATTTTGCAAAATGTTGCTTCTTTGTAAACCCATAAATTACCTGCATCATCCGGATGTAGGTTTATATATGATGCAATTGATCCACGTAGGGAACGTACCATATCTTCTCTTAGCAGATGAAACTGAACTTTAAGATAATGCTCGGCATTTTTGTAACCTTCACCGATTCTATTCGGCTCCAGATACTGATTCTCGATCATCCTTAATTCATGAGTTTCAGGGTATATTGGTATGTTTCGAAATGATCCAATTTTATTCCCAAGACCTTTAGTAACATCAATATCTTCATCATCGTTGTCATCATCTGAGTTTTCAACATATTTAGGCCTAACTTTATTCTGTTTTATTCTATTGATGAAGTGTGTGAGATCTTTAATCTTTAGTAAGACATCAGCTGTAAGTTTGTCTTTGACAAGATTCAGGATGCCTTGAATGGCGTTTAGTACGATATATGGTTGATCAAGCGAACGCTGGAATTTTGTAACCATAGTCTTTGTGAATATTACACAAAATTTAACCAAATCATTTATACTATAATACTGAGATTGCCTAAAGTCGCGTGTAGGAATCTGGCAGATATAGCGACGGAGGCCCTTTAGGAAATTAGTTTCCTGAATTACTGTAATCAAGATATTTAACATTTTAGTATTACTCTGATCAAAGACCTCATCATTCTCGTCACAGATTTTGGCAAGAACCGCTAGCCCATCATCTTTCAGCCTATCGACAAGACGTTCGTTTTCGCAATATAGTCTAAATTCATCTAATTGTGACACCATATCTTTCAAGATTTCCGATCTACCTTTCTGTAACAACGCACGCAATATTCCATCAGTTTTGCAAAATTTGCTTTCTAGTAATTTTGCTTTGCTTGTACTTGTACGACGCTTTGCATTTATCGCACTCTCCCATGATTTTTCGCATTGTCGAGTGGGTTGGTCGTGAACAGGAGACTCTTTATAAGATTGCCTGCATCCAGTGGGTAGTGATCTTCTTTCAGTAGGCTTACGCACATGGTGTTTATCATTAATACGCCTATTTGTACGACGCTTTGCATTTATTGAAATCTCCCATGGCTTTTTGTATTGTCGCATGGGTCGGTCATGCACGGGAGATTCTTTATAAGATTGCCTGCATCCAGCGGGTAGTGATCTTCTTTCAGTAGGCTTACGCACATGGCGTGTATCATTAATATGCCTATTTGTACGACGATTTTCATTTATTGGAATCTCCAATGACGTTTTGTATTGTCGCATGGGTCGGTCATGCACGGGAGACGCTTTATAAGATTGCCTGCATCCAATGGGTAATGATCGTCTATCAGTAGGCTTACGTATGTTGTGTTTATTTCCAATACGCCTTGTAGATGAAGAACATTTCGGCTTATGAACGTGCTGATGGATTTTTTCCCCTATAGTTCTTTGACTCGATCTTCGAGGGTGATGATGGTCCGTTTTCTGTTTTTTTGATGAGTTCTCTTCAAAATGTATCAGCCTGTGTTAGGGTAAAAAATGGATAATAAGCCACAGTTACAAAAGAATAGGAATTTATTATTATTATTATTATTATTATTATTATTATTATTATTATTATTATTATTATTATTATTATTATTATAAGTAATGCTTTTGAAATGCATTGAAAAAGAGCATGTGTGTTTGGAATTCTATTGAGTACACACGGGTGGTCTGTTTTAGATAAAGTAGTGTGCCAACAATTACATATGTGTGCAATGTTAATATACATAGTAATAATAATAATAATAATAATAATAATAATAATAATGATAATAATAATAATAATAGTAGTAGTAGTAGTATTAATAATAATAATAATAATAATAATAATAATAATAATGATAATAATAATAATAATAATAATAATAATAATAATAATAATAATAATAATAATAATAATAACAAAGTATTGGCGGTGGCGGTGATGGTGGTGGTAGTATATGTAAAAAAACATACATGTTTTTCTCCCCTACGAATTGTTTCTTTTCACCCCGACGGTCAGGGGACAGCTCTCCCCAACGGGAAAAGGGCTGTGCCACCCCCGCCACCAGCTAGCGCCACCCTAAGAGTAGTAGCAACGGCTGAGTTAGCATTACCTTCGCTTCAGGGTGTCCTTATTAGCTACCTTTAGTTTTACAACCTCATCTGTGCTTTGGATGTGTTTAGTAGACGGTTGCTCTTCAGACTGCTTCCTATGCATCTTTAAAGTTCCTCCACCCGATGTAATGTTTTGAGGATTTTCCTCATTATGATCAGTTTTCATTCTCTTTGAATTATTTGCTTCAATCTTCACTTGCCTATTTAGTTAAAATTAATAACAATCAAATGATAGTTCGGCCAAGGAAACAACTGTTATTAAATTGGTATTATTATGTCTGGAAAGGTGACGCACTAACGTCGTGCATTTTCCAGCGAAAGCCTATGAGTTGAGAAATTCTGAAGTCGGACACCATAGGGATCCATATAATCATTTATTAACAACCACAAAAGTGTAGTTCCTGTCAGATGGTTAACGTTACCTTCCTCTAGTCAAGCTGTAGCTCTCATAAAAGCTAGTTAGTTTACAGAATCCATTTCTATAATACAATTACTGTAAGGATATGCCCTTTGTCGTATATTTTCGTACAAAATACTCCTAAAAATATAATTATAACAACAAATATCTCAAACTAACAGATAAAATAAGTTTCAAATATCCGATAATACACAAATAAAAATAAACTGTTTTCCGCTGGTTTACAGAACTTTATGAAAATCTTTAGGAAAAGCTTTATTAGCATACAAGCTTATATTTAAATTAAAAGGTGAAACACAAAATAATTTATGAAATGTCTTATTTAGGCTTTATTTGTGCGTTGATTGGCAAATATTTTTCTCATTGTCTTTCATTACCTCCGCCAACGAAATTGGCATTTTTCATTACCTCCGCCAACGAAGTGGCCATTAATTTCAAAGTGATATATGTGAAAACAGTTTGGTATAGTAATTAGAAGAGTGTTTTCCACACTACCAGCCCCGGTTTCAAATCCCAAGGAGTCTAGGCCTACTTGTTTTTCTTTTTCATTACTTTTGTTAATAGGCACAATGAGGTGGAAATTTATACTGAGTGAGGAGAATTATGATGTGGGCGGAGGTATGCACTCTCCGCGAGTGTTCTCTAGTTCTTATATCTAATTGGAAGCTTAAACTTACATAAAATAATAATAATAAATAATAATAATAATAATAATAATTATTATTATTATTATTAAACATTAGATAAGTGGAAGTCAACACAATACCTTCTATGCTCTGTAGGCCTATCTTTTGTAGGTCCAAGACGCTGCCGTAGATCATATGGTAACTGATTAAGCTGACTAGAGCTGAAAAGAAAATTTGTTTGAGCATATACAATATATTAATATTAGAATAAAGTAGAAAATTAATATTTTGTATATTTCATTCGCATTCCACATTCGTCAATTACACGATGGAAGTCTTTTAACCAAGTTCAATTCGGCTTGTCGAGTGGGTGTTTACAATTATCAGAAAAGCATTCTAGTATCATAGGATTCAAACCCAGAAATATGGAATTGGCCAATTCCATCGTTTAGATATTCTTTAACCATTTCAAAAAAGCCTTTGACCGAAGTGCATGGCATTACGACCTTCATGGAATTGTCATGCGGCATGCGCCACCTCCACCGTTTAGATATTCTTTAACTATTTCAAAAAAGCCTTTGACCCGGAGTGCATGACATTACGACGAAAAATTACTAATTTTGTGCGATATGTGGGTCACAGGGTGTATGAAATGCATTTTGTTAATAATCAACAGTAAAGTGAAATACTGTAATTATAATAGAAAAATACAGATTGCCCTCTAATTGAAAACCAAATTTGGGACCTGAAAATTTTGGGTGGTTTTAGGGTTAGTTCTCTAATTTAATTTAATACAGGGTTACCGGTAGCTTTGCATTAAAAGGTTGAAGATTGTTAGCTGGCTCACTGCGTCGCCCGACGGTCGTACGACGAATCCAACTCTGTTCCCTGTGAGTGCTAGACGACGCGACCCCCGTCTGCTGATTGCCGGTTGCAGTCTGAACAGGTCGTCATTAAAAACGACCCGTTCCGTGTGGCGCTGGGTTATCAATAGAATCCCGTCGGGCGCTGTGAGTGTCCGGCTTAAGAGAGGAGTCACGAATTGGAAGACGAACTATATTAACTGCTTCACAGCAGTCCTATGAGACCAGGATGCTGAGGTTTTCATTCTCTATGAACACTGTGGATTCCACAGATTGATAACGCCTTTGGACATGTTTACAGCAATACTGAATAACTCTTGATGTCTGAAGACACATTTCTACACTTGCCCAATTCCCTCACCACAACCACCGACACTACATTTATTTTTTTTCTGCATATTTTTATCTTTAGTTTCAATTTCTACTATCAATACTGAACCATCACCAAGAGCTAGCCACCGTTGTATTCCCCTAAAGCATTATTTTTCAGTACTTTGCCTAGTATGAATATAGGCATAAACATATACGAGTAAATGCAAACATACACAGTTGTACTGTGACTTGAAGCAGTGCTCGGATTTGTGACTACATGTTCTTCGTGTCTGGAGTCATCGTCTGCGCCAGTCAGTGATTCCTCGCCATCATCATCTTTTGACTTGACTTCAGCCTTGCAACCATCTTTCCCAGTTTCTGAGGTTAATTTTTTCTATAATACATTGAAATTGGAATAGTAAAACACTGTTTTAAAGGGTGAAAATTAAGAAACTAAGAGATGACTGCATTCAGATTCATGAATTAATATTCTTAGAAATATGAATAAATATGTTGGAGAGATATATTCTATACTTGAAAGTTTATAAAACGTAAAGGCAGAGGTAGAAGGTAGGGAAAAAAAGAATTATTTTTAAAAAAAAGTTAGTATCAAAATAACTTCTTTAATGTTGAATGTGAATATTTTACGTTTCATCTACAACAAATTTTATCATGTAACGCTAGTCAGCGAATCACAATTTTTTCATTTCTTTTGAACATTTTGAGGTAGGAAACCGGATTCAAGAAACCGGATTGGTTACAATTAAAGTGTGGGTTACTAATAAAGTGTTGGGTCACAGTACTTTATTAAGCATAAACAGGGTGCAACTTAATAAATAACGATGTCATTAAAATTGTAGGATTGTGATAGAATTTTGTTTTTTGTGTTAACTTAAGACCTCTGATTCAGGAAACCAGGTTAGGTTACAATTAGAGTATTGGTTACCATAGAGAAATAGTGGGTCACAAAATAGTAGCCCACCATGCTTCGTCTGTCGACAACTCGCGTATTTAATATAACTGTAGTTTACAAGTGAGATTGTGGATTGTATTTATTATATTCAAAACAAATGATGGACGGAAGGCATATCATTCAGTTCTAAATAGGCACTATTATTCTTTTCATCATCTTCGACGTCACATTAAACAATCAGTATAGCATGAAATGTGTGTAGTGAAGTTATTGGGTCTGGTCTACTAAATACATTTTAACAGTAAACCGTCCGGTAATCAAAATTATATTACCGTCTAGCAGTCAGAAATTCACACAGAGGATATGAAATATGTACGCTGATCCGTACAATCGTATTGGAAGAATCATATAATTTTAATCGTTATTTGATTTTCTTATTTCAAAATAGCGAAAACACCATTAAAATGATTTATGTTTTTGACGAAAGTAATAAATAAATAACAGGTCTTTCTTGGATGGAGTAGGTAGTTAATATTATAGGCCCCTTGTCAGGTCCCTACACCTGACAGGGGGATTTTGCTTTCTTCTGGCACCAGGAGCTCGGTTTGTTCGCGCCGTCCATTATCCTCCTCCTTTTTCCTCTACCACCATCATCATTAGCGACATCATCATCATCGTCGTCGTTGTCGTCATCATCATCATCTTTATCATCATCCTTAGCTTTCCATACTAAAGTAGCCTAAAACCACGAATTTTGAGGATTCATTCATGGACGTCTCAAAATACATGGATAGTGGTGGATTCAATGAGGGTGAATTAATAGTAGAAAGAATCTTTTAACCGGCAGTATGTACAGTTAAATAATACATGTAATGTCTCTGCCGGCATCTGCAAACTCGCTACCGGAAATATAATGACGTCATAATTTACAATAGCCAATCATAAATAGACCGGCAAAATAACTATTTTGGCATACTTGTCGGTGTTACTAAGATTCGGGTAACATCGAAAAATTAGGTTCCTGACCTAAATTCTTGTTTAAGCGAAACTTTTGTATTTGTCGATAAATTAAGTTCTACTTTTATTTTATGGCCGTTATAGTACAGTGCATAAATATTTCCTTTGTTTGAAATTAACAACCGATCGTTATTAATGAGGTGAACTTGTATTTGGAACGAAAACCGCGAAAATAAACAGAAGAAAATGCGATTTTGAATGCTTTTTATTCTTGTTAATGCTTCACTGTGTCCGCAAAGACTACAACGCTGACCTAATTCTCATCACTGCTGCTGCAACAGCAGCACGAAAATTGCCCTTGTTACCGCCTGTTCTCAGCCAGGCTTTGCATCGTGACGTTGAGTGACTCTTCCATTTTCAGTCTATCAGAGTAGATACATGGGAATGGGAAAACAAAAGATGAAAAAGATGGGGCATACTACAGGACTGTAAACTGATTGACTTTGATAATGAATAACGCCACTAAACATCAGGCATCAAATTTGTTGGTTGGACGCTATACCCCTCTCTGCATAACAAATTTTAAAAACATTATGTTTAGGCCAACTTCTTACTGAATATTCCATTGCATTTTATTGCATTTTAGATGCTGTCTGTGTTCTGTTCTCTACTCCGTTGACGGTGCAATTTGAAATCGTTTTTATGGGACTTACATGGAAAAATGTTACATTTTTATGGCTTATCCCAGTGGCGTAGAAAAGTATGTTTCATCGGGGTGGGGGGATGATTGGCGTGTTAGCCAGTGTCGTAACAGGAACAGGCGCGGGGGGGGGGAACTCCCCTGACTGTTTTTACCGGGCTGACCAAGCCGTCGTACCGGGCTGGGTAATAAGAGAAAAGAAAGAGGGGAGAGAGAGGGAGGGAAAGAGAAAGAAGAGGAAAAGTGGAGGAAAGGAAAAAAAATAGAGAAGAGAAAAATAAAGACAAGAATAAAAAGGAAGATATCATAATGACCAGACTCACAACACCCTGCAACCCCTTCTCCACTTCAAAAACTGTCATAACTCCTTTGATCTATGCTGCCCGATGACGTAACCACTGGGGGACAAGGAGAAAATATCTATCTTTGAAAAATCATCCCCACCCCTTTATAAATGCCCTTTTCATCCCCTGAAAGTGCATAAAAACCTCAAATTTCTTTTTACCATGGAACAATTTCCACTACAAATTTAAAACACCGGGGGAAAACAAAGGGGGAAAAATCCATCTTTGGAAAATCTTTCCCCACCCCTTGACAAATGCATCCCCTGAAAGTGACTAAAATTCTCAAATTCTTTGCGCGCATTTCTTGTTACGGTAGGCCAATTTCCTCTATAAATTGCACATTTTAGGGAGTTTTCATCAATTTCGACGAAATTAGAATTAAAAACACAAAAATATTTTGCGCGCTTCATGTGCATTTTTTATGGCTTTTTAAGGTTTATCATTTTAAGTTATTTAAACACATAATAGTCCCAACCTCAAGAAAGACAAATTTAAGATAGATCGTTTTAACCTCAAAGAAGGGCCTCAATGTGTATTGATGGTGAAAGAATATGTTTGTAATAAATAAAACCATGATGAAAATGCTGATATTTAGTTTCAAACACACGTGTGTGGCCTATATTATAAATAAGATAAGCCCTATGTCATATTGTTTCTATATGGAGAGTGGGGTGGGGTGGGTATGGTAAATTACTAACCTGGAAAATAAATACCCACTCTGACCCAAGACCCCTGTTACGCGCCTGGTGTTAGCGCCAATGTGTGCCCTTGTGCGGACAGGGGATGTGCCACCCTCTGAAGCTGGAAACCTTGTTTTTTGCAAAATAAATTGATGCAATTTGCTATTATAGGCCTAATCAATACATTCCTCATCAACCGATATAACCTTAATCATTCTTGGAATTGACATAACATTACTGATGTCGTACACACCCTTCAGTGTGAAATGTGGCTGTCTTTGCAAGCACATCTAACATCTAAGGAAAGAAAAGCTTAGATTGGTACCAGATAAAATAGTTTGTTATCAACATTAATACATTATGCTAATTTTCATCTTTGTAAGCGCATAAGACAGTGCAAATTATTTCTCTGACAGTCTTTTGAAGCGTGTAAAGCTCCATTTTATCCCATACATAGGCAAAATATTGGGGGGGATGATATAATGGACCACCCCCCACCCTTGTCAAATATTGGGGGGATATATCCCCCATACTCCCGGGATCTACGCCTATGGCTTATCCTATTAATCAGTGTTGTTTGCTGCACTTTGCCTTTCTTATGTCCTGTTGTTTTAATGCTTGTTTTAATTTTATGATTAATGAATAAATTCAATTCAAACTATTCAAAGTTGATTGGAAATTGAACTTGACAATATTGCCAAAATTGTTTGCCAATGTTCCAAAAGATAATGGTCCCTAATGTTGAGATTTTTCTAAAATTTAGGCCTAGGTTCATCATAACATGTTATGTCCTGTTAATATTTAATGTTGCAGTGTTTTATATATTGCTCTGCTTATGTCCCTAAATTAGCTCACATGGACAGAATTCACTCAAACTTGTGGTATTTTATTTTTATTTATTTCATTCAATTTCCATTTAGATCTATTAATACAAAAACCATTACATTGAGAATACAATACTTTAAGCGTATATAACTTATATCAAAAACGAAATGCTGGAATGTTCTCATAAAATGCAGTTAGAAACAAATACAATAAAATATAATGAAATCGTCAAAGAAATAACATTCATGCATTAACTACTGCTGAATACAGTGTATCAACAATGAGCCAAGTTTAATTTTTTAAAACTATATATTGTATAGGTTGTTCTATATACAGGGAGCTAATAATAGAATAGTGGGTTCTGACACGTTTGAGTTGTAACATGACACAATCCAATTAAAATCAATAAAATATTGTAGGCCTACATTAATTAAAATCAATTTAGCACTTGAAGATAAAATATTTCATTCCCCGATTTATAGTTTATGAAACTTTTGAAAATAATACGAAATTAAATTTTAATTATCGTATCCTCTTTTTCAACACAATGCTATGTTACCCTCATCGCCTCCGCTATCAACTAAAGTGCAGACAGTCTCGTATACATTTATATAGGGTGATGTATGCACATTAGGTTAAGCAATGACTTTCATTTTGATTGGTCGGGACCTAAGCAAACTTCCTGCCTGCCAGGAATCACTCACTGTGCTATTGGCTAGTGGTATTTCTAACGGCAGACTTTCAATACAAAACCCTTGAATATATTGATATAATGCTTTTGCTACACTAGTAAGTACTGTATAATATAGAATGGAGAGGAAACAATTCCACATTGACACCTCCAATAACAATATATGAATAATACGAACAAAAATATTTATTATGACACAACACATTGAGAGGAAATAATTGCAATTTTTTCATGGAAATTATTTAAAAAAACAAAAAACCAGTATTCGATATGATCGACATAGGCATAAGACAAGATATGCAGATTCGTTCAAAGAATTTTATAACAAATGCTGGTTTATTCAATAACTGGTAAATCGTCCCTGTACACCCAGGCCCTCCTCTCTGGCGAGGTCTTTTTAAATGAGTTGTAAATTGTAATTGTAAATAAAATGACATACAAATTTTAAATTAATAAGCGAATTATTTATTTTTGTAGTTGAATTCTTAACTTAATGTTCCCTAATTAAATTGACTTATTGTAGATTTAATCCTTTTTTTATGTGTTTGTGGTATGTTTGTGATGTAGTTTTAATGTTTTTCTCCCCTTTTGTTAAACTTCAATTTTGATTTGACTTATTCTGTAATGTTAATGAGAGATTGCAATAAAGTTCTTCGTATATTTCGTATATATTTCGTATATTAAAAGAATCAACTAATTATTAAATATTATTTTAATACCCTTAACTTTTCAGGCCTACTTTTATAAATTTTATCAATAGTTTGACAAGCTGTTTAGATGTCTTAAAACAATGTTACTAATCTTTTTTCCCTACCAATTTTAATTATTTTAATGGAGATGTATTTTAACAAAATTAAATGTAATCTGTGCTTGAGTTGAGGAGAAGCCTTTATCACAAAAAAGGGCAGATTTTTACACCTCTGTACTGTAAATGTGTTGAATAAATAAGTAAAACAAGGTCCCAAAAAAATTGAAAAGAAATAGTCGTTACAATTTGGTTGTACAGACATGCCTCCTGCTAGACCATTATTATTTTCTACTCAGCCAAAATAAAAAAAGACAGTTTACATGCACTACAGGCAAATTCAAGGTAAAACCAATAAAGCTTTACAAAACATGTAGGCGAACTAACAATTGAGCGTAGAGACAAGGTCTCCCAATCAAAGGCTTTGCATAACTCCACCAACGAACTGCCAATAAATGTAAATACTGTTTTTATCTTATACTGCTTATGCAAACTTAATATGTACACCAATCTATTCCTGCCTTATTATTGTTCACGCAACCTATTCCCGCCTTATTATTACTAGTCTATATACTGTCCCAGTAAAGAAAAGTAAGTTTCATCTAATCTTCCTATCATGCTCGCTGTTTCTCGCTGTAAAGTGACTTGGGATTTTTTTTTTCACCGTAAATTAGCTTTTAGATACTTTTTCTGATTGTTTATGCCAGATAATTAAGCTGTGAAGTTGAACATAAGGTACATGTTTGATTATATAAACTTTAGTTACTTTTTTTTTGTTTTTATGAATACTAGACCTATTTAATAATTGTTCTTCCTAAAGTAGGAAGAACGAATTCACGATTGGTTTCTAAAATTGTAGTGTTTAAGGGGGACAGACGGTAAAAGGGAATACAATCTGTAGGAAGGTGATTTTAATTTTAACTAAATGTTACATGCATTTGTTAGTAATAAAAATGTTTTAAACATTTTAAACATTTTGTTACTATACAGATGGTAGACTTAAAAAGTATATTGTCATGATTGCAATAAAGTTGATTTTGAGATTTTGAGGTTGGTCGTTTAATTTGATAAAAATGGACCATTAAAATCTACTGTAAATATTTATTTGAATACATACATCGATTTTGTTTTAAGTTGTTTGTTTTCAGTAGCTATTTCATTACGATGAATCGTGCTCTAACGCTCCCAAATTTGCTCTATGATCAACAGAATGTTATGAATTTTTACAAGTTGACCAAGCCTGCAAGTTATCGTTTTGATACAAAACAGCAGGTTGATACTGTTTTTCCAACATCTATTTAGATGTGAAACACCGTCACTCCATCGTTGTTGGTAATTTATTTTCTGATGAAAATGTGTGTGTAAAAATCTTTGAGTGATAGATTGGACAAAAATAATTCACATAAAATCAATTGTCGGTAGAGAACCACGTACGCCATCTGCTTAGTACCATATTTAATAGTCCCAATATGTTGTATATTTACCGATATATATTAATTCAATTGCTTTAAAGTTAGAATAAGGTTTACAAAAATGTATATTTGTAGTAACATAAAGCCTACGAAACACCTGATCGAAGAAACTGACATTGAATGAATGCAAAGGATCCAAACTGATAATATCATGTTGTGGAAAATAAAATGATTATGATTGATAATGGCGCAGATTTAAACGCATTGACGGTGTTGCTATGTAAACAGAAAGTATTTACTTATATTACCTCCAACGTGCATTACTCTCAGACCATGGGTGGTAGAGTACAGGTTCTAAAGGTTCTAAAGTGAGAAGTGTCTTTGCAAATATGTTTTAAAGATTTAAAAAAATCGATGTTGTTAAGATGACTTGCATTTAGGGATGGTATTTTTGCCCACTTTATCTTAGTCCATGAATAAAATGCATCGTGCCATGTAGATAGATAGGCCATGTCAGAATATTAGATGCCAAAATATGCTTCTTTTAATATGAAGATATTTTACTGTCGTCTTTCTTCATTCCAACATTCAAATATTGTGCTTGCACCGTATTCATCCTAGTACAAACACCCGGTGTTGCAATAACTTTTACTCTCTTTTTTATTTTTCTATCTCAACAGTGCGATCGAGGCGAAGGTCTCTGGACCTGCGCCTGTTAATATTACTCAATACAAAAAATAATTATTCCAATTTAAGTCAAAGAGTGCCATTTCTGGTCACCTAGATGTGCCATAATCATTAAATGTATTACCAGCCCCAGGAATGGTGAGGCTCAGGTGGGTGGACCCTTATTTGTGAAATTCTATCCCATGGACCTCATTGATTACGATTTCCTGGATGCGGTAATGAGGAAATGCATTTCAAAGTATCTAGAAAACAAACAAAAAATCCGAAATATGGACCCACCGCATCTAACAATTGTTTTGCCATTTGACAGAACAAACACAAATTATAAAGTTAGATGGTTACTGTAGTAGGAAGCTCTGAAATCTGCCCCTCGGATCCCACCTGTACGATAGTAAAGTGGATCCGCGTCTGCGACACTAACCTGTGGCTTCTCATGTCTGACAAAAAATTCCCACCTCGGGTGATTTCTTAATATTATTATTCTACTTACTGTAGAAAATATCAGTATGCATGTATAGTCCTAGGCATATCTTGAATTGAATGGATAGGCAAGACTTACATTATTTCGCAGTTTCATTGCTAAAATACTAGGAAATCATCCGGAAATTTACAGGAAAAATATAAAAGACCTTGCACGAACTGTGGCTCTTCTTAAAATGATTAAAAATTTCCGACATTAGACGTCACACCCAAATTCTGGGAATTCCCATGTATGCGTCACTGGGTCGAGTGCATATTTTTTTCTCTTTTGTTTGTATTGTATATCAGAGATAACAATACTGTAGTTGCAACAAGGTTCTGTGAAATTGTGGGAATAAATTGCGTAGTGCACCGAGTTTCAACGCAATTATTATTATCAGTTAAAAATAAAACCCTTTCGGTGTTTACATCGGCCCTGCTAAAACGCTAACAGTGGACTTCACTGGTGGCAATTGTGACGTGAGTGGTTCATATCACGTGACAACTGGACGCCCTCAATCTGCCACATTGGCTCCACACAACCTAATCAGTGGTGCGTAACCAACAAAAATAAAATAAGCTTTGAGGCTAAATTTTTGACATCATGTTATTTTAAAAACTCCATGACTAAGAGTCGTGTAACATCATTTTTTGCTGATAAATGTACTCAAAATACTATTCTACACCACTGTATGATTAAAAAAAAATGATTTTTTTTTCTACCTTAGAATTCAAGATGGGAAAAGAAGAGCATCTAAATGATGTATTAAATTGGCCTTATTAGTACTATGTACGCAGTACTGTCTAGCTAGTAATACGTACTGTTTCAGTTACCGTATGAGTTACGGATTTCTCTTATTATACAAGTTATTTGGAGATACCCTGGGACTGCCACTCTAGCTAGAGGCTTGCCACAAACACCCGTTTATAATACAAATTTCGAAGTTGTCCTGTGCGTAAGTAAGAGGCTTAGGCCTAGTCGCCTACTTTTAAGAAACACGATGATGTACGCCTAGCTAATGCGCTACGCTAGTTTTTGTCAAGCAAACACTACATGTAATATAATTAATTTTAATAGCCTATTGACAATCAATTTCCTTTTTGAATTGTGTTATAAACATCAAACACATATTAATTAAGAGATATTTACTATCAAATGATATACAATTTTCTTTGTAATATTTTTATTTTTTTTTTCAATTCGCTGTAGCTAGCAGGAAGTAAGGACAACTTCAACCGTTGCTGATCGTCACATGCCAGTGCTCGCATTACCGTGTTTTTATTAGTTACACTTTTCACTAGAAACGCGTTTCGAAGGAATTTTAAAATTAAAAGAGTTTAGGAAAACGCTGTGGCTAAAGGTCCGGTACCGGATTCGTTTTCGTTCGAGTGTAAAGATCCGGTACCGTATCCGTTCCTTTCCAGTCGCAATGATCCGGTCGCTGTACACACGCACAGCGCATGTTTACGTAGGGAAGATAGGGATGTACCGCGGATCTAGGCCAGATGGTCGAAATCCAGTTTGCCTAATGCCAGAATATCACACTCTATAATTTCAGCCTTAACTATATGGGAAAAAAAATAATGCGGCCCTAGACCTAGACAAACCTACATTTGGCCAATGAGGTATTTATTACAGTAAATATATAAAGTACCTTCTTGGTTAGGTACACTGGTACAAGCCTAGGCTTAGGGCTATTACTGTATTGCTATTTATACATGTACTGTATCTGTCTCTTATACACATCTAGATGTGTATAAGAGACAGGATATACATATATATATATATATACATATATATACACATATATATATATATAAATTTTAGTAATAAAACGCATAAAGCAAAAGTGTAGAGTAGCCATAACTTTTAATGGTAAAAACACCCTTCATCAGGCGGTCATCAATCAGTAGATACCTCAAAACATTATAGGCCTATGAAGAATTTATTTTTAGGCTGGAATAGTGAAGCATGTATTTTTAGAGGGCTTCAAGGGGCTTCCCTATTGCTCACTATTTCAAATTAAAGAGCAATACTATCAGTGATTTAGGCTAGTTAATCTTAGGCACCAATTTCAGATCTACTAAAGCTATTATTAGTCCAATTATTAGTAAATTAAAGTGGTGAGCAACAGGAAGCCCTTTTGATGGTCTTTAAATAATTTTTTTGTGGTTGTTAAGTCTGAGTTTACATTCGATTTCGCCTACATAATTGCTGTTTATTACATTTTATTTCAAAATAGTAGAGTACTGCGCTTTTGTACGACGGTGACGACAAAATTCAAATTCGGCAAACTGGGTTCGACTGACAGGGTTTCGGCCAACTGGGATTTCATTTTTTCGGTGAATTGGATTCGGCAAAGTGGGTTTTCGGCAAAGAGGGTTAAGTTCGGCAAACCGGGTTTCGACAAACTGGATTTCGATCAACTGGGAGGATACCTGTGCAGCAGCTACAAACTTCAGAAGCTCGTAAAACTTACTTCTGTAGAATTCTTGAGCATACTGAATTTAAAAATAGAAGGCCCATATTTTAATTTAGCGTCATGTCAGAAATTAATAGATATTTAATTGATAATCACTGTTCTCTCTACGAGTATTTCTGGGGCTGGTTTCTCCAGTCTTCTGGCTCAATACAGAGTTTACAGATCGAATTTAGATGACGAACATTTTTCTATGGACACAGGAAATGCATGTGTAATTAAATTTTATTTAATATTTCTTTCAGGAAAAACGGATGATATTGGATCTGTCAATACTAAACTATTTACAATTTACTTAACCGTGAATGAACGTAAAATAACACAGGCCTACACTTTATAGAGGGCACTATTGAAGGTCATTTAGGTGAACTGATAATGAATAATGCATGAATGAGTGACACTTCTCGCCAGTCGCGAAAGTGGTAGGCCCCTACGGTAGTGTTCGCTGCTTATGGGATGTGAAAGCTACGGCGTAGTTGTGCATGGAGGAGTTATATTTTTAGAAACTAAACCACTGTAATTCCTCCATGGTTAGGGCAGGCCAAAATCTCTTGGTAGTCGGTCGAGAGGAAAGTGTACACAGTCGATACAGACTGAACTACTGTAATTGACTATTACTGTAATTACAATCCAGAGGTGACGGAACTAGGGGGTGCTGTGTTATGGAGAGTAATGTGTGACCGGAAATGGTCTGCATCAGTTGGTTGTTACCATGCGCCAGTGATGTTGGAGTATATAGTACAGCAAGATGAAACTATTATGTAGGCCAAATGAATAAAGTTCGGAGTATGTCGGGACGTGAAATGATTATTGTACATTTTAAGCGCTAGCTAAATTCATAAGTGTAAGCTAAATTACGGTGATTAATTTAATTAGCGAAGATATGGAGACAGTTATTTCGAAGTTCCCCCTTTCCAAGAGGGGATGCAAATGCTTTGTGAAAAGGAGTACGCCGCCGTACTCATTTTCACAAAGAAATACACACAACTGGTTAGCTAACAATGCCAATACATGAACACCTGCGAAGGAAGGTTCAATCACGTTGTTGCCCAGCAAAAGTCTGTACTGTGTGTGTGGGGGGGGGGGAAGGGGCGCTACTGATGTACTGTGTAGCGAATGACGATGAGGCATACATAATAATTAAATAAGACTAGGCCTAGCCCAGGCCTAACTTGACAGTGCAATAATATGTGATAGAAAGTACACTTTCGAAAGAAATAAATTAAAATAAATTTAAAAAAAACAAAAACAAATAACTAAGAATAATTCAGTTGCAGAGGTACCTTGTACGTATTATACAATGCTAACAATGCGGCTCTTGTATCCCTAGTTAGGACAAGGCATCCATGTGCAAGGCAGTGGTGTTTGTTTATCCATGAAAAAAGCACGCCGGGATAGTTTGCCTTACCAGGAAAAGGTGACGTAATCTAGCTTATGACGTATGCATGCTAACTATATTGTGAGTGTGACGTCACCAAAAAAATGAATATTTTCTATTATAACCAAAATATTAATAACTACAAGGTTTCTGGGCGTAAATTGCCTTAATACGAATTAAGGGTTGTACAATCTCCTTGCCATACAAATTACAGATCCCACTGACGTCTCAGTCGAGAAATACGGGTAGCTGAAGTTTTTCTCGCAAATCTGACTACGAAACCATATCCAAATTTCACGTTCCACTTTTGACCCTGATTTGTGCTTCGCACTCGACGCTAAGGGCGGCGTTCCGGGAACCCTGCGTCCAGGGGTCCAGGGGTCCCAAGTTGAACAACTCCATTCGCAGGAGATTTTGACGGGAACCTTTGAGGCCGCTTGCATATACAATGCGCGTCGGGTTGCAGCCAATACGTAACTACATCAAATACTTAACATTCAATGATCAGAAAACAGTTAAATTGCTGGCTCTTGCTTTCATTTTTATTTACACAATGTAAATTAATACCATAAAATTACATAAATTCTGGAATCTACTACTCTGTACAGTCTGTACAGAGTAGTAAATTCCAGAATTTATGTAATTTTATAGTATTATGGCCTAGTCTAATATTATACATTATTCATTTAGTTACACTTAGAGGCCTACATCAATATCATTAATTACAACAATTTACACTTTTTTCTGGCATCTATAAACTATAAACAGTGATGGTAGGGATTGGAATAAACTTATTTGTGATTGTTTACGCATTGTTTTTTAACATCCTGAGTCATGTTTTTACCTAGTAGGCCTAGGCATGTGTTTACATACATGGTCTCTCGAAGTGTAAAAGGGCAGCGTTGAATTTCTGGTCGATTATATGAGTAGTGTACATAGCAATAATTAACTGCTATACTGTATTACTGATTCTAAAGGATAAACGTTTAGAAATGCTCGGGCACACATGTACAGTTCTACGTATTGCTTTAATGTTGACTTCGTACAAACATTTCGTTTATATTCAATATGAATAAAAGCATAGATCAAGCAGAATCATTACTATATGGAGCATACATTATGCTACAACACGCACGTCATATTGTATCTATAAGCCTAACTGTAGGCCTAGACCTACTCAAATACGGTGCCACATTCAATATTAGCCTACTCCGTTTTTTTTTTTTGTTTTTTTTTGTGTTTTTTTTTTGTTTTAATACTTTCGACGACCACAATGTAGGCTTGCATAGAATGTGTCTAATCTGTACTACAATTTTGACACTGTCTTGACTACCAAGGCTTATCTAAGAGATTTTGGCCTAGTGACTCCACAGCGTTCATCCACGCATAAAACTCGATACACCACTGACTTTTTCCGCAAGCGGGAGTCTGTATGAATAGGCCTTTGCATGCATGTATGCATGTTGGGTCTATTTATGCATGCATTCTCCTAACTGACCTAAAATAGCACCCTCTATAATTTCTGCCGCAACTGTATGGGAACAAAAATAATGCACCGGGCCGCGACTTTTTTTTCCGTACGAAACATTTGCATGAAACTTCACTCGGGCCATCTCGGATTGACTCGAGTAAGTACGATACGAGGAATAAGAGCAGACACTTCGCAATGTCGTGACGCTCGAGTTTTACTATTATTGCTCTTTCTATGAATGTTTAAAGTCTGTCTCTTATACACATCTAGATGTGTATAAGAGACAGGGTTAGATATGTGTGTAGCAGTAACTCATTGTCTAGCTATCAATAATTTACAGTATAGAGAAGATAGGCCTAGTTTAGGGCTGGCTAAGCCGTCATGGCCCGAAAATATATCCTAGAGCCGCCACTGCCATAAACATGAACACGTCTAGACTTGCAACAAGTCTCTTATTTTTTTTAAATTATTTTTCTCATTCTGGACAGCGCCACCAACGAGAAAGTTAATTTAGAGATAGACGGAATAAGCGACTTGTAAAACACTGAAGTCAGGCACCAGGATGCCAAAAGAATGACGTAATCTTATATTCCGTATTTGGATAAATGGGCAGACCGAAATAAACAATTTCAAATGTCATATTTTTGGAGCCACGAAACTGAGTCACTCGCCGCTCGCGTCGACTAGTTAGGCATGACTAAATTTAAATAGTCCTCCCTAATAAAACGGGCCTAAAATATTTAGAATAGACCCTAGTAAGACTAGTTTTGGCAATGGAAAAAACAATTAAGCCTAGACGGCATACCATACAAATACAACAAAACTTTAACTTTCCAGGAGGATGGCTCAGGCCTCGTCTGAGTAGTTGGCCAGCCTAGACTCCAGTAGAGGCTTGGGGTATTTTTAAGTTCTAACTTACAGAGGCCTACCTTTTTAACAATATTCTACTCTAAAGGCCTAAATCTGTGTAGCAGCTAGCGGTGAGCAAGTTTCCTAAGTATAGCCTACGGTTATCAGTCCATGTCGTTCTCAGCAGGCCAGAACTATATACTAACTGTTTTTATTCAAGTATAGGTAGCTAAAAGGGAGCTGGTTAGCTTGTTCTAGTCGAGACATCCGCATCTTCAATTTTGAAAATTTACCAAGATTGATTAATATGCATGAAGTTAGCCAATCACGTGATTTACAAAATCAGTCTTGCATACGATATCCCACATCAAATTTGATGTGGGTTTGCCCAGGCCCTAATTCGAAAAAAAAAAGAAATCGAGTATGGGACGCCAATTAAATTAGGTATGGCGCGCACTAAGTGCAATAAAGAGTGAGTAACCTAAAATTAGGGCCTGGAACCCAGGCTAGAACACGTCATGACCACCAGGGAGATGCCTCACTTCTACAATCGACATATCACGATATCATGATAGAATCACCATCACTTAAAATCACTACAATTTTGAAAAAGACTGTTTTAATGAAGTTTTGTAATTTACTTAATAGGTAGGCCTATGTGGAGAATTAAATTTGGAGAAACCTGAACAAATGCATTTAAATAGCACCAAATTCTCATATTATTTTCTACAGAAATTGAACACAAACTAAATACCTTCGTGTCTTCGTAATTTTTGAACAAAAAGTCGTATTAGAATTCAGGGTTTTTTGTTTTTTTTGGCACACTTGTATCTATGAAAATTCTTCGCTTTTCTTCGCATAAAGATCTAACACTAAAGGTCACTGAGCACGTCAAATACATTCTAAAATGAACCCAAGTTAATGACGTCAGTAAAATTGGTTGCGTCACTCTCGCGATATTTACTGATAGAGTGTGTCCTATAGCTGCAAAAGACGATTAGATTCAAAGGCGCTTGCAAACGCGAGGCAAAAAATATAACGCTATGAAGTTCCCTCTTATCGCTTATCCCTGATTGGATAAAGACCAGGTGCGTGGTTATATGTAGGCCTATTTTGAATCGACAAAAACAAAATAAAAATATAAGATTTATTTTTTTTTCTATTTATATTCAATGTTTAAAGTAATTTTCGTGTTATCTCTTCGGATGTTGCCAAGTGTGCGAGTGCCGGCGATATTTTGTTTCATTTGCACGTTCTTAGTAATAAATTACTTGGCTACAACAACCACATCATGTATATTCTAGCTGATTTTTAATCATTCTATAACGTACTGACGTTGGCCTACAACATTTTTTCCTGTCAGACAAGAATCTTCGACTAGCGCCACCATTTATTTGCTTTTGGTGAGTATCGGTGCACGATTACAATGTAATCTTTTGATTTAAATTACTAAAAAATCTGAAAATAATTGGGCCCATGCCTCCCAAATTCAACTTGGCCTCAGCAGAAAGTTTCAGCAAGCTGTAGTGTTCCCATAGATCTATACTTCTTTGATAACGAATCATTTATATAGCCACATTTTGTCTAACACTATGAATTTAACGTAAAGCAAAGAAAAGATCAGTAGGCCGTGATTGAAAATTTGATTAGTATGTCTTCCGAGATATTAAAGTCGATTATTTAAGCTCTTAAACCTCTTGCCCGGGACGAAGCTTTGGATCAATCTGTTACTGGAGCCTATAGGGGCCGTAGACAAACCCCAGCCAGATTACTCCATCATCGTAAATCCTCACAGGCACTCTGGTACGTGGTACTATTGATTAGAAAATCATTCTGATAATGTATTTAGGATACGTAAGCTGTAGAGCTTTAAAAGAAAAATCAATAATTGCATGTTCCTTATTCTCTCACTGAGTGACACTCATACAAATAAGAACAATTCAGTTGCTGTCACCACAGGACCACTGGTACCTGTCTCTTATACACATCTAGATGTGTATAAGAGACAGGTGTACTTCTCCAATTTTTAAAGGTTTTTGTTGAAATATAAATTATTACGTTTGATATATAATACAAAGAAAAAGAATCAATATTTTCAACTGGATTTATTTATTCATTTTGTGACAATATTTCAAGTATAATCCAGGACACATCATTAGGTCAGTCTGGTCTTCTGTCAGGGGCGGATCCAGCCCCGCAAAGTGTAAATGTGCGAACTGAGTGAGAGAATCGGCAGAGCCCCTGATAGGGGTGCAAGGAGATAATCTTCCTTAAACCTCTAGCACCTTTATCAATTAGTTGTTGCATTACTATTTAGGTTGTTAATTTTCTGATATACTTACAACAAAAATAGAGGGGGCGTATGCCCCCTCTAAATCCGCCACTGCTCTGTGGCTAACGTTGACCTGTAACGTCAAATGGAACATTCATAATTATACTTTAATTTTATTTATTTAATTTCAACCTGTAACATCAAATGTAATATTCACAATTATACTTTACTTTTGTGTATTCAATTTTTTTGGTAGAATTCTTTGAAAGTCTAAAAATCCCTACACATACTTGCTGGATTTAAATATTATTCAAAATCAATCAAGCATTAATTTAAAATCTCACTCACTACAAAAAAAAATCATTGATAGGTCTAAATTGTAGAAGGGAAATACAAACACATACACATAAATACACAACGGAATAAATTACTATCCTTGCTTGTCAAATGCAGACAACGTACGTTGAGCAAGCTGTGTGTTGAATTCTTACATACAAGACAAATAAAGAATAATCAACACGCCCCCGTTCACTTGGTACAAGACGTATCCTCTAGTGCGATTTTAAGCAATTAGTACTGCATTTGGGCGAGGAGCTTTGCTGGAGGTAGTCGACCTAGACACCGTGTGTGATCACAATTCAAAGTCGGAATGCTGAGTACACGTTATTGAGATCTTCACTATAAGAACGGTTAAAGTAGAGTAGGAGAACGGTCCTTGTAGAGGAGGGGAAGGACACCGAAGAAAGGAAGACTTTAATGGTGACTGCTCGAGGATCATACTAAAATTTTAAGATGTACTTGTGTATCTTGGTTGCCTGTTGCTTAGTCGTGACACCAATCACAGTGAGTGCTTTTGTTATGATTATCTTCATTTTAATCTCTATCTATTTAAACTAGTGATAATATGATCACCGAGACGTTAATAATCTATTGGTACATGATACCATTAATGTTGGTGTTAATTTAAAGAAAATTAAAATAAAATATAATACAGATACAGATACATTCTAATGAATAAAAATTAACTAATGTATCCCCAGCCCCGGTGCAAAACTATCCATAGATATGTACACACCTAAAATTCCACAATTTCAATCGTTTACCATTACAAGATGTATTGGTGTTAATAAAAGTGCTGTTAATTAAACTCTCTTTTCCGCAATAATTAATTTAATAACCAAAGTAGACATACCCTATGTAAACCCACACACATTTCGTTCAATTATTAACCATTAATATTAGGCTAAGCATGATTTTAAGCAGGCCCGCGGCCTTTTTAGATTACCAAAGGTTACGGTATGAAAATTAATAGATAACATACATAAATAGTAAGTGTTTTTTTTTTCAATTGTTGCTACACTGTATCATCACGGGTTTAGAAGTTCCAAAAGTTAATTTGTGTTGGCACTACTGTAGCGGTACTCGTGAGAATACAGTATGCCTTGTTTATTTATAAGTGTCAGCTTAAGTCAATAGCCTTGGCACTGGTGGTACACGTTTAACCTCCTTTATGGCCGAATTTTCAACTTACCTTGCAGAACCACTGGTGTCTTGTCAGACAACACCTTAATTGTACAGTAATCAATAAACATTGCATCAAAATATGTTCAGGTAGTTGAATAAAGTGCCCAAGCATATAGAGTATAGGCCCTATCTACGGAGAATGTTGAGGCACACTTCAACCAAACAAAAAAACAATCCGTCCCTAATAAGCGACCCACATGGAAATTTGCTGAGCAAAAAATAGTCATGTAATAAAATAGGCACTTACTATATAAAAGATAAATGGATTTATTTTTTGCAACTATAAATTATAGTATTATGCTATTGACGATCAAAGAGTATGACGAAATGAACGCATTAGAAACTACAACGTACTCTGGTCACAGTAGGTTCTCGTTGAACTGTAACTGAACTTTTGGGCTCAACTGCACAGAGCATGCACAAGGCTTTACTTACTTATCAGGATACGATATTTTCCAACATTCCCCTTCCTCACTTACGCTCGAGGCTGGTAAATCTTAGCGTAAAATCATAATATGGAGATTCCCACTCTTGGAGAAGAATGGATCTCCACTCTCGTCATCGAAAGCTACTTGAGATCGAGGTCATCGGATCGACTAAAATTAAGATATTTTCCGATCTTTTAAATATTATTTTGTTTAAGTTCCTCATATTTTGGTTTGAAATCTGTGGGCCCTACTAAGCCTTTGTTATCTGTAGTAAGACTTTGTTACCATCTAAACTAAGATTTCTCTTCTCCCTTCTTGAACCCTACCAGGTGTTTTAAGCCGGTTCTTGTTAAACCTGTCAGTATATTTTTGGAACCACCTACTGCTGTACGTAGCACAGTTCACTTTGATTCTACAGTATATTACTTGTTTCCAAAGACACAGTCAACTATAAATTACGCCACTGGCTCACTGCCATCATATAATTTAGTGTTATATAGTCATTCGTAGCCGTCACAAAAATATATTTGATAGGGACTTAATTTATTGGCAATCACTGGAATTTTGCAAATTATTTCTAAAAGTGGACTAGCGAATCAGTGTGCAGATATGCAGAAGCTGGTTTATGGGGA